CTACTTTCAATCTATATTTAACTTCATGATTTTAAGAGTCCAGTTTGCATTTTATTTAGGTTGATTTAAATTATTCTCATAAATATTCTATTTTTAGAGGATGTTTCAATTTTTCATCTCTTTAGTTTGGATTTTTATTTTATTTTTGGTTCAAATTTTTATATATTCAAAATCTATGTTCTTTTGATCTATATTTAACGTTATGCTTTCAAGAGACCATTCGATATTGTATCTAAATTTATTTAAATTAATCTAAAAAAATTGTATTTTTAAAGGCTATTTCAATTTTTCATCTCTTTACCAAGATTTTAATTTTATTTTTGGTTTAAATTTTTATATATTCAAAATCTATCTTCTTTTGACCAATATTTAAATTTTTAATGTCAAGTGCTCAATTGGTATTTTATTTGGATTTATTTAATTTATTCTCATAAATATTATATTTTTAGTGGCTATTTAATTTTTTCATCTCTTTAGCCTCGAATTGTTATTATATTTTTTTGTTTAAATTTTTATATATTCAAAATCTAACATTTTTTTTTGTCTATAATTAACTTTATGATTTTAAGAGATCATATGGTATTTTTTCTGGATTTATTTAAATTATTCTCTTAAATTTTGTATTTTTAAAAGTTGCTTCAATTTTTCATCTTTTTACCTTAGATTTTTATTTGATTTTTGGTTTAAATTTTATATCTTCAAAATCTATCTAGTTTTTATCTATATTTAACTTTCTGATTTTAGAAGGTCATTTGGGTTTTTGTTTTTATTTATTTAAATTATTCTCATAAATATTGTAAAAGGCTATTTCAAATTTTCATCTCTTTAGTCTAGATTTTGATTCTATTTAAAAAAAAAAAAAAATTATATACTCAAAATTTGTCTTCTTTTTATATATATTTAATGTTATGACTTTAAAGGTCATTTAGTATTTTATCTAGATCAATTTAAATTATTCTCATAAATATTCTATTTTTAGAGGTTGTTTTAATTTTTCATCTCTTTAACCTAGTTTTTATTTTATTTTAGGTTTAAATTTTTATATATTCAAAATCTATCTTATTTTGATCTATATTTAACTTTATAATTTTAAGAGGTCAATTGGTAATTTCTCTTGATTTATTCAAATTATTCTTATAAATTTTATATTTTTAGAGGCTATTTCAATTTTTCATCTATTTAGCTCGATTTTTTTATTTATTTTTGGTTTAATTTTTTATATTCAAAACTTATCTACTTTCAATCTATATTTAACTTTATGATTTTAAGAGGTCGGTTTGCATTTTATTTAGATTGATTTAAATTATTCTCATAAATATTCTATTTTTAGAGTATGTTTCAATTTTTCATCTCTTTAGTTCGGATTTTTACTTTATTTTTTGTTCAAATTTTTATATATTCAAAATCTATGTTCTTTTGATCTATATTTAACGTTATGCTTTCAAGAGACCATTCGATATTGTATCTAAATTTATTTAAATTAATCTAAAAAAATTATATTTTTAAAGGGTATTTCAATTTTTCATCTCTTTAGCCTAGATTTTTATTTTATTTTTGGTTTGAATTTTTATATATTCAAAATATTTAGAGAGGGAGGGAGATGGAGAGAGAGAGAGTAAACAAAAGGGCAAGGAGGGAGAGGGAGAGAGAGGGAAGGAGAGAGACAGGGACATATAGAGAGGGAGAGAGAAGGAGAGGAGAGAGAGAGGGGGAGAAAGGGGGAGATAGTAAAGGAAAGAGAGGAGGAGAGAGAGAAGGAGATGGGAGGGAGGGATAGAGAAGGAGAGAAGGAGGGAGGGAGAGGGGGAGAAGGAGCGAGGGAAGGAGAGAGATAAAGAGGGAGGTGAGAGAGAGGGAGATAGAGGGAGAGAGAGGGGGAGAGAGAGGGATGAAAGGAGAAAGGGAGAGGGAGGGAGGGAGAGGGAGAGAGAGAGACGAAGAGGAAGGGATAGGGTATAAAGAGGGAGGGAGGGAGGGAGACGAAGAGGAAGGGATAGGGTATAGAGAGGGAGGGAGAGAGTGAGAGAGAGGGAAAGGAGAGAGGGAGAGAGCAAAAGAGACACAGAGAGAAAGGATAAGAGTAAGGGAGAGAGCGATTGGAGAGTGAAAGAGAGAGGGAGAGAGGGAGAGGGAGAGGGAGAGGGAGAGTTAGGGGGGGGGGGAGGAATAGAGATGGAGAGAGTATAGACGAGAGGGAGATAAAGAGGAAGGGAGGGAGACAGAGGGAGAGATAATAGGATGTTTGTATAAAAATTAGTTTGTGCTAAATATTATTTGAACTTTGGTTTTTCGATTTACATGTTTGAGCAATTAATAATTTTTTATTATTATATATTTTAAGGATTAGTAGACTTGTATTTAAGTTTTGCTTGTCTTATTTATATGATATGGTTTTGTACTTTAGTCTTATTTAAAATAAAGATTTATTATTTTTCTTATAAGCTAATTTAGATCATTTGGGATAAAGGAAGGACTCTATATTCCATAAGACATTTTTTTGGTTTATTTTATTTTATTTTATTTTTAAAACATTCGAAAAACAAAAATTTGAAAATTTTTTTTTCCATAAAAAAAAAGAATTTGAAAACTAAAATTTCTGTTTCAAAACTAAAAAAAAAAAAAATAGTAATTAGTTCGATTTTTTTTTTAATCGATAAACTGAATGCTCATCCCTACGCACAGACATGCAAGAGAAAATTATAAGAATGAATGCATCAACTATCCATCTAATTTTTTATCTCATCGTAAAAATGTATAATGATTTTGACATTACCGGATATGACTATCAGTCTCGCTTTGCTGATATAAATTGTATGGTAGGGACCAAATCTGGAGAAATTATACAAGACACCACATATTCGAGCAAAGCATGCAAAGTTGGATCACATTCTCTTTTAAGTTGATATTTATTTTAGATTTCTTGATTTTAGGCTCCACTAAATTTTATTTAAATCAGTTAAAGGTTATTTTTTGGTCCATGTAATACGTGCATTAGGATGGGGTGAAGAATGAGGGCCTAAAACTACCTTGGGACATCTGATGACCAAGCCTCACTGGGGCTCCTACATATACATAATTTGGCTCCTGTGGAAGGCAAAATAGCAACAAGGACCTCGACTCTCCATAGAATAGTTCAGCAGATAAGTTGGTGCATTGATTATGTTAAGAAGCATACTTCTGTTTTTGGGAATAAGAACTGCTTTTAACCAAGAAGTAGCCTGCATAGCGAGGCGGGATGTGCCTATTGATAGCTGTCTGCAGACTGGTGCTATTTACCAAGAATTGATCAAAATTCGATCTACCTTTCAGCTTGTTTAAGAGTAATAACTTAAGGCAGAGTTCTCAGATAAATGCTGCAACAAACACTTAGAACAACCATTCATACATTCTATACATTTTTCCTACCTTTCACAGTTGCCTCCATTTTTGCTTAGAATCGAACTGCCATCCTGGTATTGATTAGGATTGCCGGCTTCCAGCAAATCCAACTGATCATGCAAGTAATCCAGAACCCATGCTCACCGAACACATGTTCTTCCATGCCACAAACATTTAATGAACATCTGAGTTTCATTTCTTTGAAAGGATGGAACCAAAAACTCAAAAAGTACAAGGAAGCTCATCGAACTACTGAAGATCTAGCACATCAGCCAACCAATTTGCAGAAGCATTTACTAAATATTTGCAAAATTATCTCATGTCACTCACACAGAACAGTTAATCACAATTAACAGATATTAGCATAAATGAGCACTTCTGTTGCTTTCAAATTTAAGTTTCACATTGCATCAATGAAATTAATTATAGAGTAAAAGCAAATCTAGTGCAAAAACTAATCACGTTTTCAAAACATGAAAAGCATATTTATGATCAAAGGTTTTTATTTGGATTCAAAGTGAGCCCTTTGATTGACCAAAAAAAAAAACAAAATCTAGAATTTATGGGTGTAAGAATCACTACAACGACTTGATGAAGATTGGGTCAATGCTTAACCAAATTTGATTCATAAACAGATCATACTTCAGCTCAAAACACTAGATATAACTTACCATTACTATACTTTTCCTTCAAAATCAAATGTACACTTACCAATACTATACTTTTCCTTCAAAATCAAATCTACTCAACAACTTCAAAACATTAAACAATCTAGTTATCTGATATAAATGGTACCTCATGGTCACAATCCTACTGATTTAAGGGTAATGATTCATGCAGTTGAGCAGCTAAGTCCAAAAGATCATGAAGATAGGATGAAGTGATAATGATGGTAAAATGATCAAATGCTCAGGTGGATTCTAGCAAACCAGTCAAAATATTCACAAAGAAAATTTGGTCACAGCAGTTAATACTACAAACATCAAATAATAAGCTGAAACAAGCACTTGTAAAGTAAAAACAATATAGAATTCAAGACAACTGATGCAGTTTATAGAAGAAACAGTTGCCTTACTCAATGAATCGCTAATCAATTTAAGGACATGACAAAAATAATCAAAATACGTTAAACCCAGTTGTCTAAAAGTAATAGCATGAATTTATGCAATGAGGTTATCTATGAAAGTAATCTGAAATGTGCTATAGTAGACTTCAAATTTCATGAGATATGAGCTACAGAGTTTGGTTGCAACTATAGCATTGCAATGAAAACAATCCCTTTTTTTAATTAAAAAAAAAACACACCAATTCAGGAAGGAAGAAAACTACAAAGGCCATATCTTATTTGAAGTTCTGATCCAATAGCAGAAACGAAAACTTTTGCTAAAGAAGGAATTACCTGAATGAGGGACCACGCCAGCCATCCTCTTTTCTGAATTTTTTTTTCACAAAGGTACCTGCATGAAGAGGATGGCTGACAGAAAGAATGGAAATCACTCCAAAGCATGTTCAGAACAGAAAAGGCATTAAAGCTAATTCTACATTGGAGGCCAAACAAGCAAGACAGTCTATATGTATATGCCAATTACTTGTTATAGAAACTTAAGCTTAAGACCTGCATCCTACCGGCATGAAGAGGATGGCTGACAGAAAGACTGGAAATCACTCCATACCATGTCCAGAACAGAAAAGGCATTACAGCTAATTCTACATTGGAGGCCAAACAAGCAAGATAGTCTATATGTATATGGCAATTACTTGATATAGAAACTTAAGCTTAAGACCTGCATCCTACATTATGACTCCTGGTTGCATCACTAATGGTATTACTGCAGAGCACAACCACACCACACCCACCCACCCACCCACCCCCACACCACCCATAAAACATCTGCAATGCAGCAGAGATCATTCTGTGGAACACATCAAAACTGAGTCTAGAATCTATAGCTACTACACATTGGTCCCAGTACACATGATAAAACAGATATCAAATGACTCTATAAACACCAGAAAAAAAAAAAAAAAGACCACTGAACAAAGCATGTGAAATGATCAACTATCCCAGCACAATACAGGAGAGAAAGACAGACGATAAACCAGTTCAGGCCTCCTATTAAAAGTTCTGTAATTTATGAATCTTATTTTCCACTAATTAAGGTCCAAAGTCTATAGAGGGTTTACCATAGTAGAAAGGCTCAGTGTGATATGGACGAAGTTTATTGATGTAAAAGACAAAGTAAAAGAGTCAACAACCATTTCAATTAATGCCAAAGCAGAAGAAGAGTGGCAATATACTACAGATCCTATAACAATGTTAACATTCCAGATATTATTGCAAAGCATTTCAACAAGCAGCAAGTTCATTTCAAATGGCCCTGGAAATTAGAAGTAGCAAACATTAAAACACAGAAGATGAACGCATCAAGGTGATTTTGAAAAGGTCCTTACCATAAAAATTCCTCTGAATTTAACTTTCAGAACTCAAACCTGAGCTTTCCATTTCGTCAACACCCATCAGCTAGACATAACTTGGTTGCTTAAATAGTCCCTTAAAATTTGGAAAAGGGAAAGCTCAAGAAACAAGGAAGAGTCCTTAAATAAGCCATCTTCTGTTTCTGAAGCTCCAATCATAAGATTGAGAGAGTTTTCCTAGGCCACAGATTACTATCCAGAAACCAAAACCGCATATCAAGTTATGTCTAAAGCCTATGGGTGTACCTTTGCAGAATTTTTTAGCTGCATGCCCCCCTTGGTTAATCTTGAGTCTCTATTGCATAAATGAATGACTAGACTTATATTGATGGATTAATGAATACTCAAGGACTTCCACATGTTATGCTGGATGACTGCACATAATATGGTTTCACAGAGATGTTTAATAGCATGATTTATTGAATGTCAAAGTTTCAAGACAAATAGTCAATAAAGAAACTCAATGAACAAATCAAATTCATTCAACATAATACTTTCGCATATTTTGCTGATTCTCTTAAACCATGTTATTTACTTTTCAAGATACTAAATATTCAAAGAATATCTGAGCAAATATCACCAGCATTATCATCAAAGATAAAAACATCCATTTGGAATACATGCTGTAGAATCATAAACACCTCATCTACCCTCTTCAACCTTTGTTTGTTCTGGGTTCTGATGAGCCACATCATATGTTGCATGGACACCAACTAACAGATAGTACAATATCATTACTGCACTGCAGATAAAGAACCTCAGGAATGCTTCACGACCCAATGATCCAAGTAGAAACAAATTCATCCCAATTGACAATGATGGCAACCATGGAACAAGAGGAACACCCCAAACTTTAGGAACACGGTGCTTGTGCAGCAAAGAGATCCCCAACGTTCCTGAAAACCAAATAACAGTAGCAACCACATATCCAATCCACCCTCTCACACCTGAATTCCAAAGTGCAGCAACTCCAGTTGAAGAACCAATAATAACAAACAGGCACACAAAAAAGTTAACTGAATCATTCATTGTGGTAACATCTTTCACATAATATCTCCTCATAAGCAATGCAACAGCCAATAGCATGAAAATAAGTAGCGTACAAATAGAAAATACACTTGATAACACATCCAAACTAGAGAAAAATGCTACAATAGCACTAAGTGTAGTTGTTAAAAGAGTAGCATTGATGGGCGTTCCCGTTTTGGGATGAACCCGAGCAAACCAAGGAGGAATCATATGGGATCTCGCAATTTGAGTAGTGTATCTTCCTTGTCCAAGTGATCCAACCAATAAGCTTGTAGTCATTCCCTTAAGTGCACAAATACTCACTAGATACTTAGCCCAATTCATGCCAATTTGAACAAAAGCAACTGAATATGCAGCATTTGGATCAATTTCTGTATATTTGACCATCCCTGTCAATGCCAAAGCCATCAAACAATAAATCACAGTGATCACAGACATTGAACCAACCAACCCAATTGGTATATCCCTTGATGGGTTCTTTGTCTCTTCAGCCATAGTAGCAACCATATCAAACCCAGTGTAAGACCAATACACAACAGCTGCAGATACGAAAACACCCTCTGCCCCCTTTGGAAAATAGGGCACCAAATTAGAGCTCTTGAAATGAATAAACCCAACAACAATAATAAAAGCAATCACAAAAGCAGTAGCAACGGAGGCAATCCAATTCAAGAAAGAAGTCCTTTTTGTCCCACTCATTGCTATAGTATTAGCCACCAAAAGGACTGCAACTGCTAATGGATCCAAAAGATTAAACCCATCAGCAAAAGAGTCAACTTTAATTCTCATAAAGTCAGGATTTTTAGAATTAATCATGCTTGCAAAATATGAAGACCAAGACCTCCCTAACCCCGCAGCACCAATGATTGCCTCTAAAATTATATTCCCAGCAGCAAGATATGCAATAAAATCACCCAATTCAACGCGAAGATAAGAGAAAGAACCACCAGCAACAGGAATCTCAACAGCAAACTCTGTGTAACAAAAAACAGAAAGCAAAGCAGAAAAACCTGAAAGTCCATAAGAAAGTACAATAGCAGGACCTGCATTCACACGAGCTTCTTGTCCTGTAATAACAAATATACCAGAACCCACAACAGAGCCAAAGCTCATCCACATAAGGTCCCACCAAGTGAGACATTTTTGCATAGGATTTTCACTCTCTCTCTGGAGAGTTACCAGTTCATGGGTGTCAGTAGATCGAGAGAGAAGGCGGTCTTTCAAACGGGGGCAGATCTGAGACAGTGCTGTCTTGTAAGAGGATAAGTCTTTGAAGGATGGTTCTGGGAAAAAATCTTGCTTGCTCCCTCTCCAGTAACTCTTTCTTGGCGATTGTTGAACATCCATTGACACTGTTGTTGGATTATGGGGATATAGCAATGGCTGATTTGTTTCTATTGATTGCAGAATTTGACTCATAATTATACTTCTAAGTCAGTAGGAATGGAAATAGAATAGAAAAGGCATCGCTGGTTAGAATGAACTAGAATTTGATTTGAGGAACAAGAAAACAATGGTGTCGCCGTGCTGTAAGGAAAGACGAAATACCTGCTATATTCATAGTTTTTTTTAAAAACAACAAAAAAAAAAAAAAAAAGCAAGCGAAAAACAACCATGTGAAACACGATAGGCCAAGTCATACAAAAACTCAAACGCTACCCCTTAAGGTTCAATAGACATCGATTTAAGTTCATAAAAAATAGCATTATCATATTAAAAAAATTATAAAATAAAGTTGATAAAAAAAGAGTTTAACAACTACTTATTTAAATTAATCAAAGTAATGGTAAATCCAAAATTTAAATAAAATTTTCAAAACATTTGTAAGACCTGGTTATTATAGCATTTAACTTGCGCGTGGGATATTCATCTTATATTAAAAATTTATTAAGGTTTAGTGAACAACTAATTATAAAAGTAATGTAATTATTGAGAGAAAGACAATTAAAGTATATAATTATCAAAATCTCCTTATAAAAATTGTTTCTATAAAGGTGTTTATTTTTGGCATTTTTTTATTATGATTTTTATATTTATTATTAGATTCATTTTATTATTATGTCATCTATGTACATGGAGAATAACTTAGTAGTTGGGATTGTTGACTCTAAACTTTAGCTACTATTATTAAGAATTTTATTCCCTCAACAATCAATATAAATCTTATATGTACGTAATATCAAAACATTGAAGATTTATTTCATTATGCAATTCTTCATAGTATCAAAACAAGGTTCATGTAACTCCTAGGAAATTTATTAATTATAAATATATATATATATGTTTAAATATTCATAAATATGTCTATATTAAGTAAAAGTGATAGTATTAATTGTTTTAAAAGTTTTTACGATAACGAGTATGTTTGATGTTTATGTGAGGAATTTCGAGAGGAAATATTTTGGATAATTTAGTTAATTATCCTTGGGATATTTCTAAGCATTTAGGATGCATTATATTAATGACAAATGTGTTGTAAAATTTTAGGAACATTGGAACTTATTTTTGGAAAAATTTTCAAATTGTTTAAAAGAAAATTTTTCAAATTTTAGGGGCGAAAAATTCTAAATTTTGTGTGATTTATTTAGGGATCTTAAAGTGATTTTTGGGTAAAACTCAAACAATAAAAGTTGTTCATCTATGTGTTTACTAGCTCTCTGTAAAATTTTGTGATTTTTAGATTGATATATATAAAGTTATGGTCGATTTGGTACGGACCATTTGGATGTACCACTCGCTAGAAATTTTAGGAAAGAAAATTCCGAGTTTAAGGAGAGAGATTTTCGAAATTTAATGAAAAGAAATGAGATTAGTTACTTAAACTTGGTTAGTTCGGGTGTTTAGTTAGCCTAAGTACTTAGTTAGACACCTAAGCCACCCTAATGAATGAATTAAGGCCAACTCACCTTCCTTTTGACTTCAAACCAACTACTTGCTTCCTTAGTCACCAAGTACTTTTCACCTTGGCCAATTGATTCCAGTGCAATTGTAAAAGGGGAAGGAAAGGGGAAGTATATAAGGGAGAGAGAGGGTTAAATGGCTGAAACTTTCAGCCAAAAACCGTGGAGCACTAACAAAGAAAAGAGAGAAAACTGTGAGAGGGAGAGAAAAATGGCAAGAAAGAGAGAAAGAAAAAGAAGGGAAAGGAAAAAAAAGAAAGAAAATATAAGGAAATCTAACCACATCTAAGCTATGTAAGTGGGTTTTACATCATGTTTAAGTTTTTTTTTTATGATTTTAATTCATGTATTTAGTTAAGTTATTGTTTGTATTGTTAAGGTTTGGCTTGTATTGGATTGATGTGTGGTTGGCTTGGTTTGGATTTAATTGTTATATTGTATTTGTGTGATCATTGAAGTTTATCATGCCTAATGTATGTTTCATCATGTGTTGATGATTGAGGGCTAAAAATTTAAGGGCTTGGACCGAATGTTGGGATGAATAAATTGGAAGGGAAACAAAGGAATGCTTAGGGTTTTCTTAAAGACCCATTCGGCCTAGGAATCCCAAAGTGAGCACAATTGGATTTTCTCATGAACTTTAAAGCCTATAACTTACTACTAACCCAATTAGGGGTGAAATAGTAAGTTATAGTGGAAGAGATTAAATAAAAAAATGAAAGAGAAACCTTAGGTTACTTTTAGGAAAAATTGAGGAATTTGGACTATAACCTTCCAACCTCATGATTAATAGTTAAATTACATCGAAACAAGTTTAAAATGAAGAGTAAAACTGAATTCATGACCTAGTCCTATTAAGGATAAATTTCGGCTATCAATACCCAAGCTAGGGCTAGGCAAGAAATCCTAATTTGGTACGTACGAATTAATTAGTCATAACTATCCAGACCTTATGAGTAATGGATGAATAATCCCTTATGAGTAGAAAATGAAAGATTAGAAAATGGAGAATAAATTCAGATGAGAATAGAATTTTACCTTGGTACGCCACAAATCAACCATTAGAATCAACAACCACGTATATCAAGTCAAACGACGA